TGGGGTATTAGCATTTCTCCTATATGCAAGAGGTGCAATCAAGATGAGGAAACATTGGAGCATTTATTTTTGAGATTATAAGATGGTAATATAAAATAGACAATATAAATGAAATAGTGTCATATAAAACAATGTAAATATATATCATATAGTGTCTAAAATCAAAATTTAGATTAAACTTTTACAATGCAAATTAATTTTGTTTTTCAACTCATACAACAACAAACAACCAACAACAAAAAAACAGAAAACAAAACAAACTCAATTATAGAAGATTTGAGATAAAGTGGAAGAGGAGGGAATGAGAGAATGAGAAAATGAGTATTTATAAGATGAGAAGTTATGAGAGTTACAATTTAGAAGAACAAATTGTAGGATTTAATTCTAATTTATTGAGTGTTGACTAAAATTGAGTACAAAAATATAGTGAATGCAAATTTATATTATTTCAGTTTTTATATTAAAGTGTGAGTTAAATGTATATAATTAATTATGTTTTAATTGAATATAAATATAGATGATCAATTTTTTTTTATGGCTTGATTAAAATAATTTTTTCTTTAGGTTTATATTAAAGTGTCAGTTTAATATATATAACTAAATGTGTTTTATTTTTGGTTTAGTTGAAAACATAATTTAAAAAAAAACATTTTATAGAAAGTGAAACAAACCACAAATAAAACACAATTGATCATATATATATCTCACTTTAATTTTAAACCTGAAAAATATATATTCAATTAAAACAAAATTAATTAGATCTCTACATTTAACTCACACTTTAATATAAGAACTGAAATTATAAAAATTTGCATTAACTATATTTCTCTACTCAATTTTATTCAACACAGATTAATAAGAATTAACTCCCACAATTGTTGATTTACTATCAAATAATTAAAACATCTATTTTACTCAATTTGCATACATTATATTTAAGTTTCTTCCATCACTAAAGTGAAAAAAGAACAGAGTATTTTATAATAAAATAAATATGATGGATTAAAATGTAAGAAAATTATGTAAAATAGATTTTTTAATTATGTGATAGTAAATCATATATACACATATATATATATATATGTGATATATCATATGCAGTATGTGATTTTGTTTTAAAACTTTAGTTATATCTTTTGCTTTAGAGAAATGAATTTTGATCCCAATTAATAATTTTACTCATATATATTTTTTCATAATAATTTTATTTTAATTTTTACCTAATTATAAGGTTATTTGGAATTGAGATTGACATAAATGTTTTAGTTTAAAATAAAATGAAAAAAAATAATTAAAAATAAAGGATGACACATGTCATCAACAGATAGCGCCAAATGTCGTAACGTGGTGAAAAGTTAGAAAAAAACCTTGTTATATTATATAAGATGTCCAAGCCTCATGTGTCATAGTTTAGTCATATCCTCCTTGTGAATATCTACAAATACTACTAAATGACACTTTAAAGTTTAAAATTGTGGTTTTTCTTTTTTCTAATTTGTAACCTTAAACTAAAACCTCCAAAATAAAAAAGTCACTATTGGTCGTTGTTTGTTTGTGTGTCAAACCAATTACTGGTCTCTGAACTTTTTATCAATTAAAATGTGATCGGTGGTCGCTGACAATCGTTACTAGGTCCAGTGATAGGCAAACAAACAACTTTTATTTGCTGGTTTGGTGAATAATATGAGGCAAACGAACATGACCATATATGTACATTAGTATTTTTGAAATTCATTTATGAAACAAATCCTTATTTTCAAAACGATTTTAAAAGTTAAGGAAATTTCTCTACTTAATTCAAATATAAATATGTAATTTTGCTTTCACTTTTATTTGATTATGTTGAATTATTATATGATATATATAGTTAATAATATTTTTTTCTCCATATGATGTAATTAATTAAAGTTCTTTAAATAGACATATATTACTCAATCAGTGAATATAAAATCAGTATACAATGTCCCACATCGCCTGAAAAAATTGGGTAATGGTTTAGAATCATACTATAAAAGAGACGAAAAAATATATGAATACAATCGAGTAGGATGCTTGATTTATTAAACATTCAAATTTTATTTTTAAAAATATCTCGTTTATTCCGGTTCATTATTCTTAAGGACATAAGCTCTTAAAAAGTTTTCAATATATTATAAATATTTATAATTTTTAGAAAAGAAATAGTATAACTATATATATATATACTTATAATAATTGTTAATATTATAAAATAAAATTTATAAACGTTTAAATTATTAATAATTTTTAAAATTTTATGGAATTTCAGATATTATAAATATTTAAACTTTACAAGAAGTTTAAATATTATGAAAATTTTAACTTTTCAAAAATTTAAAATTTATAAATTGTTTAAAATATGAAAACTATATTCAAATTTTTACGAAATTTCAAATATTAAAAATATTTAAACTTTATAAAAATTCTAAATATCAGAAAATATTATGCTGTCCAAATATTATTGAGGAATTTTAGCATCTCACAAAGGAATTGCCCAAAGTGAGGCAATTTCTAGTATTACATATTATGTCATTATGATGTGGCTGAACAAAAGAGGAATGAGGAAGGCACACAAAAGAGAATTTTGGACAAAATAATATCGACTAAGATAATAATCTGTAGTGAGAATCCGATTTTCGATTCTACTTGTAAATTTTGATTTTGAACCAACCTTTATACATGTTTACCAAATAACTTTAATGAGTTTTGATTAGTTGTGTTTAAGACAATAACAGTTATGGAAATCAAATACTAAACAAAGAGGTGTGTGCAGAATGTAAATGTTAATATAGATGATGTTGGCGAACAAAAGAGGAATGAAGAAAGCACACAAAATTATCGGAGAACTTGCTTTAAACTAACACATAAAACTAAAAGAACGAAAAATAACAAAATCAACATGACGTACCTTTTCTTGAATTCGCTTTTTCTTCCGATTAATGTTTTAGAAGGAGGTGGTGTTGTAGGTAACAATGAGTGGCGGCTATGCAATTATCTAGAGACAAGTAATAAAATAAATATGGCTCACCTTTATGTGGCTTAGCTAAGAACTCTCCTCTAGTAGAATAGTCAAGAAGAGTGGACTCTTATCCGACGACCAGCTGTAGTGAAAATGAGTGGCTATATGGATTTTTAAATGCAATTATTGAGGCCATTTTATCACTCGGCATTGATCCTTCGTCTCATATCCATTTTTCCAATTAATGTTGGTTCAATTTCGTATGAATTCTTCTATTATGTTGTTTGTTCGAGTTTTTGAATCTTAAACCGATCTAAACATTTTATAAATCATTGATAACAAATATTTTTTTAAAAAAATTTGTAACCAAAAAGGTAATAAATTTTATAATCACAAAAGAAAGCAAGAGAAATTAACTTGTTTTAACAATGGACAAACACCATTGTTTTCTCAAATTTAAAATAAAATAAAATAACAGAAGCAACAACCTCTATATGTATTATTTGTATGGTAGTGCGAACAGATCAACACTGATTATTATCCTATAAGATAGCCTCACAGATCCATGGGGGAAGATATTAATTGCTCTGAAAAACAAAGAGAAAAATAACTTATTTAGTTTTCTATGAAAGTACTTAATCAAATTTATTTTGAATCAAACGATGAAGACGAGACAACGATCAAATCTTCATTCCTTTTTCTCCTTATGTAATTGTTTCTAAGATATTACCTCGTTTTCTTCTGTTGCGATACGGAATTGACTTTCATTTGCGATACTCAATTCCTTTAATGATGTGATAAATCTCAGCCCATCAGGAAGCTCCTTGAACTTTAGACAATTCCAAATTTCTAGAGTATGAAGACATGGCATGGAGCCTTTTGTTCCAATTCTGATATCTTATATAATAAGACAAGGTTTCTTCTAACTTTGCTTCACAAAGCAACATTTGGCGCTCTATATTCCTGACATGTATCATTTTTATTAATTTCTAATTTAACATTTTTAAATTATGTATTTGTGATATGTGTTGTAAGTTATAAGATATGTATTCTTTGCTTTTACAAAAATGTGTCATTGTTGCAAAAAATATGTTCTTTAATTTTACTTTCTATTTAAATTAAATATCATATAAGCTAAACATAAAATGGAGTAGTTAAAATATTTTTCTTTGTATTCAAAGAAAATTGGTATGAGTTTTTTTCCTTGAGATTTAAAGTTCAAAAATAACATCAAAATTTCCTCCTCCTTTAAAAGTATTTTTCTTAAAGTTATTAATATGGGTAATAAATTATTTATAACATACTTTTATAATTCTTGAAAACTAAGTTTCTAATAAAATATTTAAAGAGAATGGTTTTTTTTTTTTTACTTTAGCATGGTGAAATCTATGGTAAATAATGAAATTAGAGAAAGTTTGATTGTTTTCAGTATAATAAATTAGTACATCTAAAATATTTAGATAAAGTAACTATTTAACCAAAATATATTCTATTATTTAATTAAGAAAAAAATATATTTAATTTACCATTATTAAACAGTTGAGAAAGGAAACACAGTCTAATAGAATATAAAATCATGAAATTTAATCAAAGAATAACTATCTTATTATTCAGAAATCATATATATATATATATATATATAAATAAAGTTTCACTCTCTTCTTATTGGTTCTCTTGGCATGTAACTTAAAAAAGAAATATTTAATTCACAATTTAATATAAAACTGAAAAAATAAACCACAAAACACATTTAGTCATATACATTAAACTCACACTTTAATATAAAAACTGAAATAATATGAATTTGCATTAACTATATTTTACATTGAATTTTTCAGCACACAATAAATTATAATTGATTCCTATAATTTTTTTAAATGAAATTGTAACTCCCATCACTTCTCTTCCTATTTATACTCATTTTCCCAGTTACCATTCCCTCATTCTCTCATCCTCTAATTCTCTATCTCATTTATTATATAAAAATATAAGCTCTGTGTTTTTTTTTTTGTTGTATGAGTTTTAGAAAACAATTAAAATATTCTTTTATAAAAACTCAATTGTAATAAAAATTGAAACTATATGATATACATCTTATGTTATTATATTTTGTTTTGGAAATTTATCTCTATTTTCTATCCATCTATCCATTTTCAAAAATACCCCTGTTTAAATATTAAAAATTATTAAATTTTATATAGTTTATAAGGTACTTGTATAAAATAACTAATACTGAGAGATTCGATACACGTTTTAAATGGTTTTAAATCGTTTTTATAAGTTTTATAAGGTTTTTAAATTGTTTTTAAAAGGTTATACGATCATAGTACAATAGATGAACTTTACATTGACCACTATTTTTGTATCCAAACATACAAAAAAATCAATACTTTGGTAGATAAATTGAGAACTTTTGAGAAATACCCCTTTTGGTGTACCCATTTTTTAAAATACCCATCTTTTCTATTCATTTTCAAAAATACTCATTTTCAAATATGAAAATTTATAAACTTTTATATGGTTGATAAAGTACATCAAAATCATCATTACTACTGGGAGACTAAATCCAAATATTTATAAGATTTTAAAAGGTTCTAAACGGCATTAATAAGGTTTTTATAAGGTTTTTAAAAGGTTTACAAAGTTTTTATAAGATTTTTATATGGTTTTTAAAAGGTTTTAAAAGGCGTTTATACGGTATTTATGAAATATATATATGTAAATTTACACACTTATAAAGATAATTTATGTCTATAAATATAAGCTTACACATATTTTTTTGATAAATTTCAAATTTTATAGTGACTTTTTGATAAAACTAGAAAGAAGGGTATTTTAAAAAAGCGGTATTGGAAAAGAGGTATTTTTGAAATTCCCCCAAATAAATTAGAGAACTTACATGGTACTAACCTAATATATCTTCTTTCAAATTTGAATATTTTCCATTTCTTCTCTAAAATTTTATTTTTTATTATTTTCATTATTGTACTATAATTTATTTATGTATAAATTCCCATGATGTTATTGTTAAATTATTTTAATTTTCATTTAAATTAGAATATATTATTTTTTCTCGGAAATCGTGGTAGAGAACAAAGCGGGTGTGGTAAATTATATATGACTTTTCTTTTTAATTAAAATAACCTATTCTTAAGTATACATATGGTTTAGTTTTTTTATTGTATATGTAATTAATATTAGACTATTTTGATGCTCTAGATTATATTAAGGTTGTTGACAAAAAAAATTGAAATATTAACGTGTCACTATATAATATTATCCTATATGAAATATTAGAAGATATGATTTTTTGAGAGACCGAAGGAAAAAGTAATCAACATTTCATAAGTGAAAAAAAAAAAAAAAAAAGAAGATGACATAGGGACAAATCTAAATTAGATTTGTATAAATTACAAGTTCAAAGAGTTGTTTGTAGTGATCTAAGACTATAAATCTTAGTCTTAGTATCCTAATGTAGTTGAATAAAAAATTATTCTAATGCTTATTTTAATTGATGATGGAATTTGTTGAATACAAATTAAAAAATTATTTAACTTTTTGTTTTTTTTGTAGAATAAAAATTATTTATAATAAATTTTAAATAATTTTTGCAGTAGATAGCAATATGCATAATACAAAATAATCATAAAACATAATACAAAAAATATTCTATGCGATAGTCAATGAAATGAAGAGAATAACTTAATTACTTCAATCAAATTGATTTTCAAAAGGTATATTAAAATTATTATAAATATAATATCAAATTTATCTCGCGCATCGCGCGGGTCTACTTCTAGTATCTAATAATGTAATCTTTTCAATTTTGATCCTAAAAGCTCTTTTAGTTTTTGATGTTGGATCGTCTTCTCTCATGCACTATTTTTATCTCCATATTGTACAATTTAACAATGTACTTACTTTGTTCCTGTACACCATATGGTTACTTAGATTCACAAAAAATTGAGAAATACAAAGTTAAGATCAAAGATGAGAATGTACAGCACATGTTCTTTATTTTAAAATTGGTTGGTCTTAGTATAAGCTAAGACAATTAATTAGCAAAAGAACAACTTCAATAAAATAAATGTTATTAAGCTGACAATTAAATTGTTTGTCTTCCTTTCTAACCATATGCAAAGACTACAAAACATTTGTTTCAAGTCTTGCGTAGCAAGCTTCATACCTGTTGGATTGGACATATATAAGGAACATAGAACTAAGAAAGACTTTAAGATACTCTGCATTTACTAGTCTCAAATCTAAAGGAAAAAGGTTGAGATGTCTGAAAGACAAAGAAACAAAGATTTTGTAATGGTTACTACTTTTTCCAGAATTGATAAGATCATGGGAAGAAGACTAGCGGTTAAGATGAAACAAAACCGAAAAGTAGAATTGAAAAGAGAGATTAATAAATGAAAATAAAATTGATTCATAAGAAAAAAATCATGTCGAAAATTCGATGAACAAAACACAGAAAGCAATGGCTTACAGGACAACAGCCAATAGTTTAATATTAACTAACAGGAATGTGCAAACAACAGCCAATAGTTTTGATAGGGAACCAAAACAGAACAACGCAATGCGAAAGAGACTCACCGATCCAACAGGGAAGATATGAATTAATTGCCCTGAAAAAAACAAAGAGAGAATAATTGATTCAGGTTTTATGTATCAGATTTGTTTTGCTTCAAACAATTGTTTCTATGATAATTGGACTGTGAAAAGAATTTATTACCTCGTTTTCTTCTGGTTCTGGTAGCCAGCCATAGTCAAGAAGAGGAATGTGTTGGATTTTATAGTAATCTTCTCCTCCTTTGGAAACTTTCTTCTGTAATTCTTTTTCTTGTGTGCGGATACTCAATTCCTTTAACGAAGTGATATATTTCAGCCCATCAGGAAGCTCCTTTAACATATCACAATTCCGAATTTTCAGAGTATGAAGAAGTGGCATGGAGCCTTCTTCTACTATCCACTCTTCCAACTCTTTTAGGAACCCTATGGAAAGTTTCTGCAATTTAGGAATGATGAATCGCTGGCCAAGAGGAAGCTTCTTCAATTTTGGACACCATTTAATAATGAGAGTATGAAGAAGTGGCATGGAGCCTTCTTCTACTACCCACTCTTCCAATTCGCATAAATAGTCTAATTTAAGAATCTGCAATTGAGGAAACCCTCTACCGGAGCAATCCATTCTCCTCCCAACATAAGAATTCAACCCCAACACAACACTTTTCAATTGTAGCAGTTTCTCTAGAATCGGCATCGGATCCTCCTCTAAACAACAACCAGATAGATATATGGTTGTAAGATGGGAAGGGATATGTTGCAGAGCAGGTAGCTTCAGTTGATTGACGTAAATTATAGTAAGATCTTCCAACATTTCCAATCTACTTAGAGTTGAAGTTAGAGTTTCCACATCCCACATGCCACTGATACGCAGACTCCTTAGTCTTGTCATATGGTGAAGATCCGTCACGCTGCTATGCATTGTTGAGAAATTATGCAGTCTCTCCAAGTTTAGTAGATTACCCAATTCCAACTTTGTTCGACAGTGTGGCAGTTCTGGTAAACGAAGGTATCTCAATTCTAGCATCTCTTTAAAGACATTGGGCACGTCGGTTAGCTTACCACGAACATCTAGATTTAAATAGAGCAGCGATTTCAGGTTCCGTAAGGATGAAGGTAGATGAGTTACCTCTGCCATATATAAACTCAAATACTTCAAGTGGATGAGCTTTCCAATGCTAGATGGTAACTTCCCTCCCTTCAATTTAACATAGTCAAGATCTAAAACCCTCAACAATGGTAGTAACTTCATGAAGTTTGATCCCATATATATATCATTCCCAACGTCAATAAACAAGAGAGATCTTAGTTTAGAATTCTTTAACTCACTCTCTCCGTTAAAACTCTGTGTGACGTAAATGACGAGTCTGCGTGATTTGCTAGATGTCTGAGAGTGTACGTTTGAGCTGCAGGTTGGATCACTAACAATCTGTAAGAAGTTCTCTTCCTTGGCTTTTAACAAACAAATCTCTCTAATCAAGTCATGCAACTGACAATTTTCAAATCTCGAAGTCTCCACGTCTCTTTCAGAAATAACCATATTTCTCATCACTAACTCTTCTATGTAGAGATCAGCAACATCTCGAATGGTAGCTCCCTCGTAATGCCTAAGTTTTATCATCCCTTCTGCAGCCCAGACATAAGACAATCTTCGTAAGATTATTCTATGATCTTCTGGGGAAGAGGCCAAGTATAGTAAGCACTGCTTCAAATAACTTGGCAATCCTTCAAAGCTCAAAGACAGAATATAATTAACCGAACTGCAATCGTCAACAGTGGAACTGACTCCTCCCAGCAAGATGTGAGATTTGATATTCTCAGATATCAGTTTCCACTGATGAGATGTGTGTTGGGCAGCTAATAACCCTCCTAATAATTTGATAGCCAATGGTAGTCTTCCACAATGTTTAACCATCTCCTTAGCCATCTCTATCATTTCTTCATCAACTTTATATCCTAAACAACAACATGGTGTCAACTATAAATTTGCGTTGGATAAAATTAATTGTAGTTGTCTAGTTTGTTATATTAAAAATGCATACGACGTCACGAATGCATGGGAATCTAAATATTGATTTTGAAACAAAATTTTAAATTCCTTAATTTTCACATACTATATTTTTCATTTATTTCATATTTCTTTTTCAGGTTCTAAAATTTTTATATATTTATCTTTTTTTAGTTATTTATCAAAAATAATAAAAACTAAAAAATATATTTTAAAGAAAATAATGTTTTTAAAAATAATATTTAGTCAACATTGGATTTCGGCAAAAAAGTTACCAAAAGTAGAGGTTATGGTATTGTACACATGACTTATGTTTGTTTATGCATGTGCTTATATGATGGCAATAGTTAAAGACTAAAGTAGTCAATCTAAAAAATGCTTACCGATTGTTGTGTCGTTCTTAGGAAATGCTATCATTTGTAAGAGTTCCCAACATTCATCGTGAATTAGGAGTTCTGGTTTGAAGGTCGTACAATGTGGATGTATTGCGTCGTTGCGTGAAGTAAGTAGTACCTTCCAACCAGCTACAATAAACCAAACATAAGTTTACGCAAGGAATTTGAACATTTGTTCTTAGCAAAATATCAAATGGTAAGCATACCAAATTAGCTTAATTAATACATATCTATAAAGTAATCACCTTTTCTCTCTGGAAACATGAGCTTTATTCTGTCCCAATCTTCTTTTTTCCATAGGTCATCAAACACGATCAAAACTTTTCTTGTTTCCAACAGATGAAAGAGTTTCTTTTGAATTTCGTCTTCCCGCAAGTTTGATTCTTTATCTCCAGGACTAAGATTCCCCAAGATCGTTTGCCACACATCCTTCCGTGTAAAATCTTGTGAAACACACACCCATGCAAGTCCGTCAAAATGATGCTTTACTGTATCATGATTAAAAATCTGTCGAGCGAGGGTGGTTTTGCCAAGACCACCCAAACCAGTTATGGATACCCCATGACTGAGATCATTTTCCACCAGTTCCTCAGCCAATCTCTTAACATTTTTCTCTAAGCCTACAAGGTTATTTTCAAATTCACTAGAAAATGTATGGCGCGCTTCCCTTTTTCTATCTTGTAGAAATTGCGAATACCCACCTTCAATAATGTTCGATTGTATGCCAAAATCTCGCATAACCTGGACCACTTTGGATATTCTCTTGCTGATGCTTGCTATCTCAAAAGCAGTATCCCTACGAACAAATTGAAAATGAAGACTTTTCATGTAATTCTTGATGCCACTGCTTTCACTTCGTTCTCCCTTGAGAAGATAGGTTTCAATTATATCTTCAGCATCATATGTGATTTCTTTTACCTCGTCCACGCATTTTCTTGCAAGTGCTGTTGTTTGTTTCCTTGCATCCGCATCTGTCAGAAAGCACATTAAAATGTCTAGATCTGCTTTTAGCTCAGTAACTTGCTCTCTAATCCCCGACAGTCGCTCATATTCTTGGGTTATGAGCTCCCAAAGCTTTTGAACACCAAACGAGACAATTGGGTCCGTCATAATTGTCCTGCTTAAGAGGAAACATTAGTAAGTACTAGATTAGAGGTGATGAAGAGGAAACAATAACAATGAACTACCAGCACTCGATAAATAAGGTTTAAATTTGATACTTGAGATCTAGGTTTGTTTCTGCCTCTAGGTCAACAAGAGAGGGGGTTAATTTGAGAAAATCTGAATCTGGCTTCCCTTTTGAGAATTCTCATAATTTCATCTTGAAGAAACAGTTCTTTTTATTAATCTAAACGCTTAATATGTAAAACTATAAACAGTTATATATATCACTTCGACTAATAGCTATACTATTTGATTTAGTCATATGTATCTGTATGATTTATCAAGTATACATAATTTAAATAAATAAAAAAGAATTAAAGGTCTAGATTTTATACGTGGGATGGACTCGAATCGTCTTAAATACAGTTTGTTAAACGCCTTCTGTGGTCATTTATACGAAAACCAAAATGCAATATTCTAGTTTCGTCGAATTTTGAAATTTCTCAAAGTTTGAGTTGTCTATAGATGAATACAAGTAGTTTAGGTTCAGCAAAGTTACGGGTTTAACTCGTAAGAATATTACAAAAGTGGTCATTTTATCCTATGATCAAAACTCGAAAGAACCAGTTTGAGGATTTGACGATTAAGTTTCTTCAAACATGATCGATTAATTTTCCATATTTTTAAAAACCTTTTTATTAAACGAATTGATCAAGACAAACACATAAGATAAGAAGGACAGAACAAAAGACTTTTGCGGAAGCAAAGCAAAATCAATAAGAAACAAAACTGACTCACCTGTCGGAAGCACTGTTTTCTCGCTGCCCTTTGGAAGAAGAAAGATGATTGTTCTTCGTTCTTAATTAGCTATGAAGTCTCCGCTTATTATTATTATGTGGGAGTAAGATTGGACTCGGTAGCCAAATTTAAAATTAAAAATAAGAAGAAGAAGAAGAAGAAGTAGATACAACACACGCTGTTATGATTATTTAAAAACAAAACAAAATAATTATTGAGTGAACTCGTACGTTCCACTTCCCCATATTATAGATTAAGGATTACATGATGTGTGAAGAGAAGTTGTCACAAAAATCAAGATTCAAGATTGATCTAGTTTTGCAAAATCTCTTTCAATTTTCAAGAGCCTCAACTGTTGAAGGATGATGCTATTGGTTAGTCAACAACAATGAAATTAGTAATGAGCGTTTAAGCCATGTCTCAGTTTGGTCTTGGTTCGTGTATTCTAGCTTAATTTATTATCAGAGTCGTTAAGAAATTATTCTCTCATTAGCTGCGGGAAGCAAGCTGATGATTGCACTGCACGTTAGAAACTATCTCGCAACTACGGTGGTTTTAATCATTCTTTAATTACGCGATCCGTAATGCTTCGTCCAATAAAACGCGGTATCATAATATATAAGCGTTGATCTAACGAGTTGGTTATATAAAAATTTAAACCGAAATAAATAAATCGAACAAAAACGATTTCATGCACTACCAAAAAAAGTCAATAAATATATACGTAACAACGTTTTGATGAACGTTTGTTTTCGGCAGCTATTTTAGATGTCAACTATATTATAGCGTTGTTTTTATTTTTATTTATTTTTTTTTTTTTTTTGCCTACTAGCGTTGTTTTTATATGCTATGAAAGGGTTTTTTTTTTACGAAAACGTATATGAGTTTTTACCATAATTTAATTTGCATGCAGTAATTTGTTTTGTCGATTATTTTCTCGATGCTATAATATTAAAATGTTAAGTGATTTCAACTTTCCGGTTTTTTTTTTTTTTTTTTTATCTTAACGTTTATTATATAGTAACAAAAATAACAAATTTATCATCCATACAAGTTATAGAAATTGCGCTATAACAAAGTGCTACCAATAATTATCTCTTTTTTTTTCTTCTTTTTTTTTTTTTTTTTTTTTTTTAACTCAGGCTAAATCTCTAAACCTATGAAAGCATCCGAAACTATTCCCTGAGGAGAAGGTATCTCACGGGTAGGGTCCACTTAGACTTTCAAATGGGCCTTAAGCAAGAGATTCATACCCATGTGACCAAAGAGATAATTAAAGCTTGCAATTCTGCATCCGAGTAGAATCGATCCCTGATATAGACCAACATGGCGACTCTTCCACCAGACTAGAACCACTAGCCCACCACCTCTGAAAGATCAAAATAAAACTCATAAAACAAATTTCTAGCAACAAATATATATATAAATCTTATAAAAAAAATTCATATTTTAATTTCTTCTAGTTCATCCTCTTTATCGTATTAACGTTGAGATACTTCTTCTTTTAATTTGCACGTCCTACTTAATCTACAAAGTTAGCGATTAGATAAAGAAAAGAAGAGCGATTTCTAAAAGATGAAACTGCCGAACTGAACCTGAATGTTATTCACCTTCGATGCTCCACAAACCTGAATTCTCAAACTCACAATCTCTCTCGCATGCTAATCGATTTTCTCAATAAAGCATTGCATGCAAACATTTAATGTTATGATCGGTTTAAAATCAAGCTCTACATTTTTCTTATCAAATTAATGGATAAATATCAATAGATGGGGTCAGATTAATCCAGCAATCCACTAACAACAAGGAGAAGAAGAAACCTTCAAGATCAAGCTTTACAACAATAGTCTCGGTATGTCTCAACAATGGTGCAATGTTAGAAAAAAAAAGTGTGTGTTGGAATTTGTTGAAATGTGTTGGAATTTGCAGTAATCTTTTCCTCCTTTTAGAAAATTTGTTTGCCCATTTTTCTCTTCATAAAATTTGAGTTTTTAGTTTTCTCAAAGAAGTAATACATCTTAACCCATTAGGCATTTTTTTTTTACCTTTTGCTTTTCCCAATATTCCAGGAGTCTCAAGAAGTAGAATTAATCCGTATGAATTTTTTTAAGTTGGTAGTTTGATTTTCCGAATTTTGAAGCAATCATAACATTTAATAAAAAATTGATAACAGATAACTATTTTAAAAATGTGTAACAAAAAGGTAATAAATTTTTTGATAAACACAACAAAAAGCACACCAATTAACTTGTTTTTACAATGGCTTACCGCTTACACGACGACCACCATGATTCTTAAATTTAAATTGAAAAAAAAAACAGAGCCAACAACAAATAGTTTGATAGAAAAACAAAACAGATCCACATAATGCAAAAGGATATATAAAGCCTCACAAACCCATGTGGGAAAGTATTAATCGCTATGGATCTGTAAAGAAAAAGAGAGAAAAACAGATTTAGTTTCAGAATAATATGATTTACGTCAAACAATGAAGACGACCCTTTAACTTGATTTCATTCTTTTTCTCCTAACGAAATAGAATGAAATATTATATTACCTCGTTGTCTTCATTCTAGTCATATCGAATAAAAGGAATGTGTTGGATTAACTTCCTCTAGCACTAAATTGTTCCTTGATATTGGACAAACGTAGAAACGTAGAACTAGAAGCAGTAACCTTTATTTATGTTCTTTAGCATGGTAGTGCGTACAACCGCCAATAGTTTGATAGGAAACCAAAACAGATCGACACATTCCAAAGAGAGTATTATAATATACAAGTGTTATGCCCAATGTTATGCATCGGGAAGTATCAATATATAACGATTAATATGTAACATAACATATTAATAAGTAGGAGAGGAAATTGTGTAGCACATTTACGAATTTAAGAAGTGCAAATGGTTTATCAACAGGGGAGGTGTCTTTAGTCTAGTGAGTAAGTCCACTTGAGTTAAAAATACAAAACTATCTTTAACATGAATAAATACATTAAACGACAGTGTCCATAAAAGAACCAAACAACTAATAGAATGATGTTAAAATTCAAGAGAACTTGTAATTTGTGTGATCATCTTTTCTCTAGTGTAATCTTTTCATTTCTGATCTTAAAAGCTCCTTTAGTTTTTATGTTGGATCGTCTTCTCTCATGCACTATTTTTATCTTCATATTGTACAGTTTAACAATGAACTTACTTTCTTCCTTTACACCATATGGTTCCTAACATTCACCAAAAAAATTAAGAAATACGAAGTTAAGATCAAAGATGAGAATGTACAGCACATAATCTTTATTTTAAAATTGTTTGGTCTTAGTTTAAAGCTAAGACAGTTAATTGGCAAAAGAACAACTTCAACAAAAAGTGGAGTTAAACTGAAAGACTATTAAATTGTTTTTCTTCATTTGTAACCAAAAGCAAAGATCAAAAACTTTGGTTTCAAGTCTTGCGTGAGATTAGCAAACTTCATAGAACTAAGAAAGACTTTAAGATACTCTGCATTTACTAGTCTCAAATCTAAAGGAGAAAGGTTGAGATATCTATCTGAAAGACAAAGAAACAAAGGTTTTGTAATGGTTACTACTTACTCCAGATTGATAGGATCATGGGAAGACTAGTGGTTAAGATGAAACAAAACCGAAAAGCAGAATTGGAAAGAGAGATTAGTAAATGAAAATAAAATTGATTCATAGGAAAAAATCTTGTCGAAAATCCAATGATAAATCCTAAAATCAGAGACATGTAAGAACAACTGAAATTAATAGCTGTTGCTCAAGAATTAAAGTAGAAGCAACTACCAAAATCATATAAAACCATAATCTTAATATTAAATGTATAATAAAAATGTAATCAAGTTGATAAACAAAAAACAAAAAGCAATGGCTTACAGAGTTACATGACAACAGCAAATAGTTTTGATAGGGAACCAAAACAGAACAACGCAATGCAAAAGAGACTCACCGATCCAACAAGGAAGATATGAATTAATTGCCCTGAAAAAACAAAGAGAGAATAATTGATTCAGTTTTTATGTATCAAATTTGTTTTGCATCAAACGATTGTTTCTATGATAATTGGACAGTGGAAAGAATTTATTACCTCATATCCAATCAGTGAAATGTGTTTGAATTTTATAGGCATCTTCCAAATTTTCCAATCTCCTTAGAGTTCTAGTTAGAGTATACATATCCCACAGCTTGCCAGTGATAGTAAGCCTCCTTAGTCTTGTCATACAATGAAGATCCGTCAGGCTGCTATGCTTTCTTGAGAAATTATGAAGGCTCTCCAAGTTTAGTAGATTTCCCAGTTTCAACTTCGTCGGAAACAGTGTGTACTTTGGTAAGCAGAGGTATGTCAGTTCTAGCATCTCTTCAAAGACATTGGGCACCATAGTTCCTATCCTAGAATACGTATCTAAATTCAAATAGAGCAGCGACTTCAGGTTCCGCAAGGATGAAGGTAGATGAGTTACCTTGACTCTAAATAAACTCAGATACTTCAAGTGGATGAGCTTTCCAATGCTAGATGGTAACCCCCATCTATTAAATTTAGCTTCACTGAGATCTAAGACCCTCAACAATGGTAACTCCATAGATTTTATCCTGATCGAATCCCAAGAGACAGCATGAATAAACAAGAGAGATCTAAGTTTGGAATTCCTTATCTCCAACTCTCCCCTAAAACTTTTTGTGCGGTAAACTACGAATCTACGCGATTTGCTTGAAGCTTGAGAGTGTACGTTTGAGCTGCAGGTCTGATCACAGGTCTGATCACTAACAATCTGTAAGAAGTTCTCTTCCTCGGCTTTTAACAAACAAATCTCTCTCATCAAGTCATGCAACTGACAATATTCAAATCTCGAAGTCTTCATGTCTTTTTCAGAAATAACCAAATTTCTCATCACTAACTCTTGTATGCAGAAATCAGCAACATCTTGAATGGTAGCTCCCTCGTAATACCTGGGCTTTTTTATTCCTTCTGCAGCCCAAACATAAGCCAATCTTTCTATTTCTATACTACGATCTTCTGGAAAAGAGGCTAAGTAGAGTAAGCACTGCTTCAAATAACTTGGCAATCCTTCAAAGCTCAAAGACAGAATATAATCAACGGAACTGCTATCGTCAACAGTGGAACTGACTCCTCCCAGCAAGATGTGAGATTTGATGTTCTCAGATATTAGTTTCCACTGACGTGGTGTGTGTTGGGCAGCTAATAACCCTCCTAATACTTTGACAGCCAATGGTAATCCTCCACACTGTTTAACCATCTCCTTAGCCATCTCTATCATTTCTTCATCAATTATATATCCTACCCAACAACATAGAGTCAACTATCAATTAGCGTTGGATATTTAAATTAAGATATGAATTGACAGAGACTTATAGACGTCTTTGAGATATTGTTGATGGGTTTCTTAAGGATTAAAGAATTGTGATTATCGTAGAAAACGATTTTTTAGTTTGGGATTTCAAAAGAAAAATCTCTCAGATTTTGATTTGATTTTTTTTTTTTTTTTTTTTTTGACCAATAAAATGCATAATTCAAGTATTTGGAATTTTCGTTTTCCCTTCAAATAATTTAGGTCAATTTTATCAAAAAAGAACGAAAATGGTTGCATATAGGGTGAACGAAAAAATTCCTTTATTGGTTCAATCCTTTGAATTATTTTGCATGCAACCAAATGGTAAAAATTTGGATGAATTAATGCTTAATTCAACATTTTCAACATTTGTCTCTTCTCTTGTAAATAAGACAAGAATTCGTTTTTATTTATTAAAACTGACTTGTTTATGTAACTATTACCAAACTCAATTATAAACTAACACCATTTGTAGTTTTATGCTATGTTTCCCAAAATTACCACATAATTTGACATCTGTTTGAATGGTTATTAATTAGAAGTTAGGAAATACAAAATGATTTAGGAACACGTACAAAAGCTTATTTGTGATAGTCTTATAACTTTTGGGTCAAGATTCCTTTAATTTATCTTGTATTGTTTAAGTTCGTTACACGAAAATGATACGTCACTAAAGCAGGTTTAATTCAGGGGAGAAAATTCAGTTGGCCCTAATTAAGGGTTTAATTACCTATATAACAAAACAACTACAGCGCGGGGGAAAGAATTACATATATAACTTTTAACGAATTAGAATATATATGTTACACTTTAATTTTATTGCAGTGCAATCGATTACAGTAAATCATATATTTGTATAGTAAGTTTAAATAAAATAATAAAGGAAAAAGCGAGTAAATAATCATATATTGAGTTTTGATACAATTAAAACCACGATGAAAATTTAACATCACAAAATAATATTTGTCGATAAATTATTCATTTTGTAAAACTTACATATTTACAATATATTTTTTGAAGGACCAACCCGTAACAGAATTCATTTCGTAAACAAAATATTATTCATAACTCACTTTATCATTATAATTGTGATTTTAACAAACTAGCCGTGAACTATCTAAAATTTACATAGTTTGATATATAATATATTTTATCAATAAAAATTATGTCTCCAAAAAACTATTTTCAATATTTTAAATTCGAATTTTTTTATATATTTGAACCTTTTCATTATAATATTTTGAAACTTTTTGAAATTTTAAATATACTCATGTAACAATGATTTTAATATTGGTCATACTTATATACTTATAATGATTTTAAACTATTTTCTAAAATATTTAACGGAGTGTAATTGAGTATTATATGTCCTTTTGAAAAATTCAAATTGCAACATATGCAAAAAAAGAGTTAAATTCTTATTAAATATTTATATTATATAGTAGAATATCATAAATTAAAAATAAGATCAAATAAAAGTGAAAGAAGAATAATAATTTTTTAATAGATTATATTAAATTAGTTAGAGAAATATTAGAAAATTCTAAAATTAGTTATGGAGATAATACAATCCTAAAATTAGATATGGAAAGTATCCGATGTATGTATCCAAACCCAATTTAATATTTAATTTTGAAGTATCCAACTGTTAAAATCGGGTTATTTTTTTAATTTTGACCTGACACATATTCTATTTTGTACTTCTCTTTTACTAATATAAGGATATTAGGGTTATTTGAGTTCTTTTAATGCCCAGAATACCCTTAATTTCTTTAATAGGATCAAAAATAAAATACAAAAATACCTTTAATCTTTTTTTTAAATAAAGAAATTTTCCGTTCAGTTGCCGCATATTTATTTTCGGGTGAAAGATTTATTTTTCGTCACAGATTTTTGACGACAGACTTATTTTATCCCACAGATTTGTTGTTTTAGGTTACCACAAATTTTTTTTAACTACATATTTGTTTTCCAGGATGTGCTTATTGTCGACGTAACCACATACTTTCTGATTTTACAAAATTTTTTGTTTTAATAGTGGCTACACTTTTTCTTAAAGACACAATAAATCTCTCATAACATGTCCGATTTGTTGACGAAAAATAATTATTAGATTAACTTACACTGATAAAAGATTTGTTTTTATTTACAACAATTTTCTTTTAACAAAAAAACTGTGGAATGATAGTAGATTTTTTTAAAAGTATAAACTTATTGTTATTGATATGAATCTATATTAACCTGTGTATTTGATATTCAGCAGGATTCATCAAACTCTTCCCATCATACAACACGTTTATGTATATGTAGTTAAATTATAATATTTTAAATTCTTTAAGAGTTAAATATTAATAATATTTTTTAATTGATTTTACATATTTACAATCATTTAAACACTCTATAAAACTTAAGGAAAATTCCTTAAAAATACCTCATGTTACTTCTATTTAGACATTTAATACCTATTTTTTATTGGTTGGAATAGGCATGGGCATATTAACCGTATCCGAAATCCGAACCCGAACCCGACCCGAAGTAGGCAGTTCGGTTTGGGTATGGATAGTGGGTAATACCCGATCGGATTTAGTTTTCATAAAAATCGGATATCCGATCGGGTTCAGGTATTATCCGAACCCGAACGGATACCCGAACTTATCCGATCATAAATAAATTATATATCTTTAATTCTCTAAATTCTTAAATATTTAATTGAATTTGAGGTTTGTGAAGTGTGGAACTAATGAAAGATATTTTGTAAGATATTATTAGCTTTGTCTACTTGTTTATATCTTTAAGACTTTTGACTTAATCACTTTTACATTCAGTTTTACTCTTTCATGTATTTAGGACTTCAACATTTTTTAGTATTTTCATTTCAAATTATGTGTGGAATATTTTTTGGTAAAATTATGAATGTTGAGTATTCCGAATAAAATTAAAATTTCGGATATTTCTATCTATTTCAAGATTTTTTTTTTCAATCTTGGATAAAAATCATCAAAATCTTTGGATATTCGGCACCAAAATCGGATTTTGGATATATCCGAAATTAACTGAACCCAAAAGCATCGATCCGAACCCGACCCGATATTCTAAAATACCCGATCGGATTCTATATGTCTATATCGGAACATCCGAACATCCGAAGCCAAATTCGAACGGATATCCGAATGGCGGAATCGTTAAGTTGGGTAAATTTGATGTATTAAATTATTATCCAATAAAATGTTGTCTTTTAAAATTGTTATAATCAAACACACGACTTAAAGATATAAACATATATGACGGAATTGTTAAGTTGGGTAAAATTTCACTATATATATGTGGAAGTATATATACGATTTGTTTGCATGATAGTACCAATATATTTTTATTATATATATATGTGGAAACATATTTTTAGTTTGTTTTTACTTTTTTTCTTTTGCAAAATTATGAATGAACAATTTTCTGAAAATAATAAGGAATAAAAAATAGTATGATTTTAAAATATAGGATATATAGATAGTAAACTACTTACCAGTTTCTATGTCGTTCTTAGGAAATGCTATCATTTGCAAAAGTGTTAAACTTTCTTCGTGTTCTAAGAATTTTGGTTTGAATTGTATACATTCTGGACATACAGCGTCGTTGCGTGAAGTAATTAGTACCTTCCAACCAGCTGCAATAAACCAAACATATGAGCTTTTCAGGAATTTGTGTCCTTGTTATATATTTTCTTAGAAAAATATGGTAAACACATCAAATTAGCCTAATTATTATATATCTATATGTACTAAAAGAGGTCACCTTTTCTATCTGGTGGAAAAATTGGCTTTATTTTTTCCCAATCTTCTTTTCTCCATACGTCATCAAAGATTATCAAAACTTTTTTTTTTTCCAACAACTGAACGAGTTTCCTCTGAATATCGTCTTCCTCCATATTTGGATCTTTATCTCCAGGACTAAGATTGCCCAAGATAGTCTTCCACACATCCTTTCTTGTATAATCTTGTGAAACACACACCCACGCAAGTCCTTCAAAATGACGCGTTACTGTATCATGATTAAAAATCTGTCGAGCGAGGGTGGTTTTGCCAAGACCACCCAAACCAGTTATGGATACCCCATGACTAAGATCATTTTCCACCAATTCCTCAACCAATCTCTTAACATTTTTCTCTAAGCCTACAAGATTATTTTCAAATTCACTAGAAAATGTATGACGCGTCTCCCTTTTCCTTTCCAGTTGAGCTTCCGAATATCCACCGTCCATAATGTCCGATTTTATGCCTAAAGTCTGCATAACTTGGATAACCTTGGAGATCCTCTTACTGATGCTTGTGATTTGCAATGCGATCTCCCTACGACCACGTGGAAAGCAAGCAAGACTTCTCATGTGATTCTTCTCGCCACCGTCTTTAAGAAGAAAGGTTTCAATTATATCCTCAGCATCATAAGTGATTTCCCTTATCTCTTCCAGGCAGTTTCTGGCAAGTGCACGTGTTTGTTTCTTTGCATCCGCATCACATAAAAAGGCCATTAACATGTTCAGATCACATTTGAGCTCAGTAATTTGCTCTTCAACTCCCTGGAATCTCTCATATTCTTGGCTCACACGCACCCAAAGCTTTTGAACAGCAAATGATAGAATTGAATCAGCCATAAGTCCTGCATAAATAGTACGAAAGTAGCGGTGAAGATTTTTTATAGTGATGAGGAAACATAAGCAAGAAACCTAATCACATTATGCTCAACGGCTGAAGATAAAAGAAGGTCTATATTTTATACGTGATCGATTTTTGCTTTCAAGTCAATATCAACAAGAGAGGAAGTTAAGATCAAAGTAATATTTTAGCTTCCTTGTCATGTCTAATTAAGAAACAGTTTTTTTTTTTTTACGTAAAACAATTCCTATTCTTCTTTTATACAAAAAAAAAAAAAAAGACAGAATCCTGTCCTGGAGGATATTTACTTATCACTTCGAGATGTAGTTACTTCTATTAGTATTCGATATTTCCCATAAAAATGGTTTTTTCACCCATACATGTCACATAATTTTTCAAGGATGGATTGACTTCCCTGGATTACCCCAACAATTGGTACCCAAAAAAACATTAAATCCACAAAAATGGCTGTTTGAATTTTATTATTATTATTAGCAATATATTAATTTGTTCATCTCTCAAATTTAAACATTCTTTTTATCCCTCAGTCTCTTTATCTTCAACTTTTGTAGTTTTTTTAAAGTATCTTGTATGCTAATAATAATAATAAAATGAATTTTATTATTATTCAACTAAACTTACATGTACGTTCATCCACGGTCCAGTTTACCATGTACTAGCTATAGACTTCATAACTCCGCCAAATCTACAAATTTTCGGGAGATTTGCACAAATAATTTTTTTATGATACATTTTTCTACAAGTATTTTTTCTGGATTTCTATTTTCAAAAATACTCTATTTAATATACAAAATGACTAAATTACCCTCTTTTAATATACCTCATTATGAAGAAAATAAAATTCTATCCAACAAAAAGAATATTCCTGCCAAATTTTCCCGCCAAAAAATTTCAACAAAAAAAATTCTGCCAAAAAGTTTATGACAAAAATTTTCCCCCCAAAATTTTTCAACCATAAATTTTCCGCTATTACTTAAAAAATCTTTGAAAAAACCTTGTAAATATTTTTAAACCCTTAAATATCTTTTAAAAAACCAAGTAAATCTTTTAGAAGTCATCCAAAACCTATAAAAACTTTAATAAATCTTGTAAATCCTTTTAAATACCATTTAAAAATCCTTGTAAAATTTTAAAAACCATTTGAAAATCTTGTAAAAATCCTTGTCAATCCTTTAAAAACCGTTATAAACATATAAAATCTTTTAATAACCATTGTAAAAATCTTCTTAAAACCATTCAAAAACCTTTGCAAGCTTCTAAAACCCTTTAAAAACAATTACAAATCTTTTAAAAACTCTTGCAAATCCCTTTAAAAACCCTTGTAATTCCTTTAAAAGGCCCTTTTAAAAAAATTTGGCAGAAAAATTTTGTAAAATTGTTTTTTTGCGGGAAATTTTGTCGGAAAATATTTTGGCGGAAAATTTTTTGTCAGATAATTTTTGAATATTCTTTCAGCTAGGGTAACATGGTCATTAAAATTAAAAAGAGGGCAAAAATGAAAATGGCAAAAAAAGAGGGTAGTTTTGCAAAAGGGTATCATAAAAAATTTATTAGTAAGAATTTCTCTAATTTTTTTCCCAATTAACCAAATGTAGTAAATTTGTTTAATTGCGATTTAAAATCGTAAAACTGCGTTACCAATTTTGCGATTAGACATATTTTTTGTGTCTTAGAAAAACTTTAACTACTGTTTTAAAAAACTGTCATAATTTAAAGGTCCATGGTTACATCAAAAATAAGTCTGTCGTGGAAATATGTAGTTTAAAATTATATGTGGTAACCTATTATGATAATTTTCGTAGAAAACTGTAAAGAAAAATATATCTGCCATGCAACAACAAATTTGCCGCAACTGAATGACCGATTTTTTGGGAAAAAAAAACAAAATGTTTTTAAAAAAAATTGACAAAAACAATTAAGGGTATTTGAGTACTTTTTCTTATCAAAGAGATAAAGGGTATTTTGGTGATCAAAAGAACTTAAATAACCCAAATATTTTGTAAGGTATATACGTAAATAAAACCTTAATTATGGTCAAATGGGTTTTTCCCTATACTATTTACTTTAGGTTCTAGTCTTAGATTAGTTCTCAAATTTTGTTTTTAGTTGTTGTGAAGTTGTGAACCATTCAGAGTGTTTAATATTTCTAAGAGCATGTTTATTGGTGGGCTTAGGGCTAAAATTTTGTTAAGAGCTTTTCTTAAGATGGTTAGTTGAATTTTTAGTTACATGTTTTTTTTTTCCTTTCTGTTTTTTTTTTTTGCTTTGTTTCATATACAATTGAGGAAATTTTTAGCATCTCCTAAAGAAATACATATTTGCTTTCACATCATAGAGTGAGGAAAATTCTACTGTTGAACATGAGTATTACATATCATGATGTGGCTGAACATGAAAGAAATGAGGAAACAAAAGATATGAGAACGAGAGCTTACACACAAAAACTAAAGAAAGATAAGAACAGTAATAAAATCAGCATAACGCACCTTTTCTCTAGATCGCTTTTTTCTTCCAAAGAAGAAGAAGAAGGCGATGAGTTCTTTTATGTTTTTACTAGATTTGAGTAGGAGACTTGACTCTTATCCGATGGAGTAACAATGAGTGTCGGCGATGCAATTATTTAGAGAACTAGCTTCCACATAAATTTGAAGAGATAAAGAAAAATTATAAAATCAGTACTATGCCTCACCTTTATGTGGCTTAGCTAAGATCACTGCTCTAATAGATCGAATCGAATAGAGAAGAGTCAAGAAGAGTGGACTCTTATCCGACGACCAGCTGTAGTGAAAATGAGTGGCTATAGATTTTTATATGCAATTATTGAAACTATTTTATCACTTGTATCAACTTGTATTATTACATTTGTTCAAAAAATAGTCAATTTCAAAAACTGTGTCGAATTTTGTTAGCTACTTCTTCTCTAGTTTTCCATAAAAATTGATTCTACATATATGCAAATTATCACCCATACATGTCACATATATGATTCTATATATTTATTCATCATCTTCTAGAATATTTCTTTGTATATCATTCTGTTCTCTAGATTTATCCTGCTTAGAGACTTCCAATAAATAAAATATGTAGTAAAAGGTTTATGAATAAATATACAGAAAATTGATCAATTACTACAGAATCGGAGGATATAATTTGAATACCAATTATTGTGTAGTTTAGCAAAATCAACCTTTAAGAAAACTGTTGTTACATTGAATACAACAACTAATCTAAAAGACTCTTATAATGAAAATAAAATCCAAGATTTATATCTAACCATAATGTTATAGTTAGATTAAATTAATCTCTCATCATATTGACCGTTACTATGTTCCTTGACGAGGCATTCCAACACTTAGAGAAGTTGGTTTAACATGCTTCCACGGCCTGATTTGTCATGCGAATTCTCTTATATAGGTTTTAATTTCTCACTGCCACGAACTTTTTTTTAACCGTCTATGCAAATATTTACCTCAGGTTTATCGTGAGATGCATTCAACAGCCAAATAAGATGTTATATATAGCACTTGTAAGTATATCAGTATTTGATCCGTAGTGAAAAATTTTGGTTCATTCTGGTTCTGGTTATTATCTAATTTGCCAGCATATGACGGCAGAGATACCCTTATCAAACAAACCAACGACGGAGCTACTATGTTATTGAGTGTTTGTCAGAACCACACTCTCTTCCACAAGGTAAGAGTTTGTTTAAGTATGTCTATCTTTCCCCAAAATATTATATTCAATGAACACGGTTTCTTTGAATGCATTGTATGCATTGAAAGAGGCATCTTAAGAGTTAAGACCTCAGGGATGAAATGAGAAGCCTGTTGAGTGATGAAGCTATTGAAGATACGCTTAATTGAGAAAGATGTTTTGTGCTTCTTTAATTACTGTTTTCAGAAGCTAAAGGAACTTGGCCAAAGTAGAAACTAGAGTTGAGATAAGTGCTACAAGCTAAACCAAATTAAACCAGTTCTTTAGGGTCTCATTCGGTTTTTGTTTCTTAGATCATCTAGAAGAATCAAATACATCATGATCTGTTCGTTTTCAAGTTATAACTAGGATTTGCTTTTGTATTTCACATAGCTTGTATTTATTTTTTTGTATTTTTTTCATTTGTCACATCATCAACAAATATATTGGATATAACCATATTTCAAATGATATCAAATTTGATAGAAACTAACTAATTTGAATTATTCAACAATAAAAATTACCTTCTCTTCTTATTCTTATCTAAATTTCTATTTTCTTTAAACAGATTTCAAAACAAAGAGAGAGATCAATATCAATATCGAAATAATATTTTTTCAAAGAGATGAAAACAAAATAATCTCCTTCTTGTTTTCTTTCTTCTCCATGTTCAGGTTATTCTTTTTTTTTTTTCTTGCTAAGTAGTTAAAAAACCGATTACATGATATAATAAAGATGTGAAAAAGAATAAATTATTTTAAACATACTGTAATATGTTTTTTTTCTTCAATTCCTTTTCCTATTTTGTTAAGGAAAAAAAAAAAAGTTAAAACCGCCTTCTCATCCCCTGCACTCCCCTGCTCTATATATATCTTTCGTTTTTCTTCTAAAACGTGCACTTCACTATTCTCATTGTTAAATCGTATTCGATACTTTTCACAATCTCAGGTACGTAGCGTCTTTAGGGTTACCTCCGCTTCTATATGTTTATATGCTTCTTGATTACTTTTCTTGCGTAACATCTTTGTCGTTGTACATAACTTTGGTAGTCTAATTAGTTTTAGTTAATAGTTTGTGATAAGATTAGTATTGAGTATCGTTAATAATAACCTCTCAAGAGCTCTATTTTAATTCTCTTCATGATGTCGTCTATTACTTTGTTACAGAATTTGATTCAAGAGAGTTTGAAGAATACAATGGTCCTTGAACTCGAGGAAGGATGGTCCTCCATGAAGGAAGATATTACCATGCTGATAAGGAATATAGAAGAAGAGCGTAAACCACTTAACCCTACGCAATATTTTAACATTTACAGGTATACGTACGTAACTCATTTATATGTAATGTTTGTTTGTTAACTGTTCTATATGATATACAGATACTCACCACAGTAATTTCTTATGTGATTCACAGTACTATCTACAATATGTGTACCCAGAAAAATGGTAATTACTCACAGCAGCTTTACCAAAAGTATCGCGAAGTAATTGAAGATTATATTATCCAAACTGTGAGTACCAAAGTTTTATGTGTCTTGGCTTGATTCTTGGATATTGTGCAAAAGAAGACATGTTCTTTATGTATGTTTTTTTTACAACTTATTGGTTTTTCTTTTTAATTTTTGGTTTAGGTGTTACCATCCTTAAGGGAGAAGCATGGTGAAGATATGCTAAGAGAGCTTGTTAAGAGGTGGAAGAACCATGAAATTCTTGTCAAATTGTTAAGCAATGTCTTCCAATATATCGACAAATTCTATATTTATCGGGCAGGCGAGCCAAGACTGAGAAAAGTTGGCTTGACATGTTTTCGCGACCTGGTTTGTCATACATTTCTGTAGCTAGGTCCTAAATTGTCACTGCCTTAAATGTATTTGTAAGTTTGTAACTGTCCTTGCAAATCATATACTACAGGTTTATCGTGAGATGCACTCCACTGCCAAAGAAGCTTTATTAGCACTTGTAAGTATTGGTATCCATAATGTTAAAATTTCTGGTTCAGCCTAATTGTTGTTTATATGTAACACAAATTGTATTTAATTTCCAGATTCATAGAGAACGGGAGGGCGAACAGATTGATAGGGAACTAGTGAAAAGCGTATTAGATATCTACGTTGAGAATGGGATGGGAACTTTAGAGAAATATCAAGAGGATTTCGAAAACTTCTTGCTTCAAGATACTGTTTCTTACTATTCTTGCAAAGTGTCAAGGTGGATCGAGGAGGAGTCTTGTCCTGATTACATGCTAAAGGTGTGTCTCTGACTATGTTATCATCCTCTATCAGGAAATAAAATGTATATCATTAACGTCAATAACTTTATATTGCAGTGTGAGGAGTGTCTAGAAAAGGAGAGTGATAGAGTCACTCACTATCTCCAATCAAGCACTGAATCCAAACTAGTTGAGGTTGGTTTTGATCTAATTATTTCGATATGGTTATTCTGAATGCATATTGAGTGCATGTTTCTTTTAATGAATTGTAGGCAGTGAAAGAGGCATTTGATGAAATCTTAAAGAAGGATGGAGGAAATGAGAAGCTCAAGTGATAAATTCATGAAGTAGATTTTTTTTTTTTTTTTCACGTTGTTAATGTTTTAATTCAATTTCGTTTTCGTATTTTCCTTCTAATTTAATAGGATTTGCTTAGCTTTCGTATGCTCCTCGACAACTCTTTTTTCTTGTTTCATAAGCAAATTCAACTAAGGATATTCGGTTTTTAGTGTGAAAATTCAAGTATGATAAAAAAAATATTATAAATTAAAATAAACTACAAGGATTCAGTAATTGCAGTGTATCAAACATATTATATATTCTTATTAACTAACAAGTTAAATTCACAAGAAATTCGTCAATTTACATGATAGACATCAGTTTTGTTTGTACTAAAGAATTGATCAACTTCAGTGTTATAATTTTAAGCTGTATATAATTACCAAAAATAATAATAATTTTGAGCTGTATATGGAAATATTACAACAGAAATAGATGTTGAGCAAAGTCATCTAATAGCTATAGATTAAAGAAAGCAAATCAGTCCTCATGAGATGATAACTCAAACCTTATTTCTAAAAATACCACTAAAATGGATTATTTCTAAATATATTATTATTAGTTTTATTTTTCAAAAATACCACTAAAATATATATTCGATTTCTGGTGAGGAAATATATCATTAACGTCAATAATTTTATATTGCAGTGTGAGGAGTGTCAAAGAGAGGAGAAGGAGAGAGTCACTCACTACCTCCATTCAAGCACCGAACTCAAACTAGTGGAGGTTGGTTTTGATATAATTATTTGGAATTTAATCATATTTTTAGTGTTTGAACTTAGTGATATACAGTATATATGCTTATTTCTGAAAGCACAATATCTAGTTATTGGCTGTCTTAATTATTATCACTTTTTCATGACAATAGTTTTGTCTCTTAATGCATTGTAGGCAATTAAAGAGGCATTTGATGAAATCTTAAAGAAGGATGGAGGAAGCGAGCAGCTTAAGTGATAAAGCTTAAGTGCTTTTGTTTTTTTTTCTGAACTATATACAATACTTAGCAGATCTAAGTTAAGGCTTTAGAAAACTTAGAAAGGTTAATTAGCTACATTAATTATTCTTAAAAATATTATATCCTTGGCGCATTTTTAAATGACTCAGATATATATAATTAAATGATTCAATATATGTATTTAAAAATCAGTTCAGAATTAAATTTTATTTAATTTGAACATGTATGATTCCTTATATGATATTTTAAATGATAAATAATATAAATTTCCATATTCATAAGTATTAAAAGTAGTTGATTAATCATAAACTAAAAAATTAAATTGGGTGGGATTTTATGTTACTTTGGTTTGCGAAAATCTCAGAATGATTAGTGCAGCCAATTCTTTAAGTGAGTGAAACGTCGCATATGTCTTGTAGAAGAAACTTTACAAAACGTTATATAAGATAGCTTCTAGGCCTTTTTCACCTTCACCGGCAAAGTTTCTCGTTTCGCATAATCTGATTCATACTATTCGGAATCTTTAGGTATGTGATATCTTAGGTCTTAGTTAAATTTGTGATTCTTTCTCACTTGGGAGCGTAACATATTGTATTTGTTCTATTGATATTCTAAATAGTTTTAGTTTTTACTTAGGTATTGAGGAAGGACGATGGCACTAGACACAGAATTTACATTTGAGGAAGGATGGTCCTTCACGCAGAAAGGTGTTACAAAGCTGATAAGAATTCTAGAAGGAGAGTCTGAACCACAATTTAAAGCTCAGCAACTTCTTGATCTTTATACGTACGTAGGTCATCTTATGTAATATTTTCAAATTTGGAATCTTATGATATGATATTGTTAACCATTACGCAATTACCATTGTGATTTCTTATGTGATTTAAAGAAATGGCTACGTTATATGCACCAAGAAACCGGCCGATTACTCGCAACAGCTTTATGATAAGTATCGGGAAGTGATTGAAGATTATATTATACAAACGGTGGGTAACAAAATATATATTCTTCTTAATTTTTAAAAACTTAGGTAGACAGAAACAGTTAGTACTTGTTTTATGTGTGGTTTAGGTATTGCCATCCTTAAAAGAGAAGCATGGTGAAGATATGCTAAGAGAGCTTGTTAGGAGGTGGAAGAACCATAAAATTATGCTCGACATGTTCACAGTGTGGTTCTTCCCTTATCTTGAAAGATACTTTATTCCTCGGAAAGGCCTTCCATCACTGAGTGAAGTTGGCTTGACATGTTTCCGCGACCTGGTTTGTCATGCTTATATTCCTATAGCTTCTAAATTTTTACCGCCTTATCAGTATTATTTAAAACGGTCCATGTTATGTATACGTCAGGTTTATCGGGAGATGCAGTCAACGGCCACAGCAGTTGTACTAGCACTTGTAAGTATTGGTATAATGTAAAGAAAAGGCTCCGATTAAACCTGATTTTTGAATATATATATTAATAACTACAATAATATGTTTTGGGCCAAAACCTATACATACCTTCAGACTCGAGATCAAAACATGTTATATGATTTTGTCCTAAACGCTACTCGGCGATCTCTAAGCTTTTACCAAAGATTTTTTACCAATTGAACTATTAGTACTTTCTGATTTCTTGAATATCTAAAGAAACTAGTATTTGCCAGATTCATAAAGAACGTGAAGGTGAAGAGATTGATAGGGAAGTAGTGGAAGACGTATTAGAAGTCTATGTGGAGAATGGGATGGGAACTATGGAGAGATATGAAGAGGATTTTGAAAGAGTCATGCTTCAAGAGACTGTATCTTACTATTCTTCCAAGGCATCAATGTGGATGAAGGAGTATTCTAGTTCTGATTATTTGCTAAAGGCATGTCCCCAACTATATATGTCTTTTTAATTCGATTTCAGGAAAGTAAATACATATATATTAACTAATGTCAGTAACTTTATATTGCAGTGTGATGAGTGTCTAAAAAGGGAGCAGGAGAGAGTCATTCACTACCTTTATTTGAGCACTGAGCCCAAACTAGTTGAGGTTTGTTTCTTTATTTTGTTATCTCTTGTCTTATTTTCTACGCAAAATATATATTCAATTATATTGAATGGCCATAACTTTAATTTAATGCATTTGTAGGCATTGCAAGAAGCCTTGAAGATCTTTTACGTCTAACAAAAAAGCAGCAGGGTTGATTTGGAAGTTATAACTGTTTGTTACTCCCTCCTTTTTACAAAGAGTGTGATTTTTGAGAAAAAAAATTGTTACATAAAAAGTGTCATTCTATTTTTTGAATACATCATTTACATTAGATTTCCAAATTTTACCCTTAATCTATAATTAATTAATCCATTTACCATTTATTAAATAGGAGTATATATGGTAGGCATATTTTTGGCCTTCTTCTTAGCTAGTGTTTTTCTTATCCTTAGAGAAAAAAAATAAAAGACTTTTCCTTTTCCATTGCGGTTTCAAAAATTCGGGTTATAAAAATTTATTTATTTCACCGATATATATCTCATACATATATTTCTTGGTGCACAGGCAAAATAACATATAAACGATTTCTTGGTGCACATATGGTAGTCATAATTTTTTTTTTCAGATAGCCATATATATATTTAGTTTTCTTCGACGATGTTTACGCACTTTACGATTCTCATAGTTAATCTTGGTGGTTCTGATTGGATAATCATAGTTAATTAGTGACGTACGTCTTAGGTTTTGATCGAGTTTCAGGGTTACCTCCGCTTCTATGTGTTTATTTAATTCATGATTACTTTTCTGACGTAACATCTTTGTCGTTGCTTTTAAGTTTGGTAACCTAATTAGTTTTAGTTTCTGATTTGTGATAATATTAGCGTTGAGTATTGTTATTGTACCGATAATGATAAGCTCACAAGAGCCAATCTCTATTATACTTATATCAATTACTTTATCAAGAATTTGACTCAAGAGAGCTAGCTTGAAACATATTCGAGAATGGGATAGGGAACTAGTGAAAAGCGTATTAGATATCTATGTGGAGAATGAGATAGGAACTCTGCAAAAATACAAAGAGGATTAGGTTTCATATTTTCCTTCCAATTCAATAGGATTCGCGTTCGTATGCTCCTCGTTAACTCTTTTCTTGTTTGACAAGAAAATTCAACTAAGGATATTCAGTTTTTAGTGTAAGCATTCAAGTATGATCAAATATCTCTATAAATTAAAATAAACTACAATTTTTCAGTAATTGTAGTGTATTAAACACATTATATATTCTTATATTAACTAGCCAGTTAAATTCACTAAAAAATTCGTCAATTTTCATAATAAACTTCAGTGTTATAATTTATATTATTTTTAAGCTGTATATGGAAATATTACAACAGAAATAGATGTTGAGCATATCAAAGCTGTCATCTAATAGCTAGATTGAAGAATGATCAGTCCTATGATAACTCAAACCTCAAATATATGTATGGGTTGAATTTATTTTTAACTTAATGGTGTTGTAAATTTCATTATAAAAAGAAATTATATATGTAAATGACTCTCTACAAGATTAATATGTAAATAGTAACTTTACATTTATCTTTTATTATTTTGGTAATTATATCGATATAGAAAACGTTCGGATAGAAAATTTATGACCCATTCGAGTATATTTTTGGATTTTCGGTTAGAAAATTAAGAAGCACCTTTGCTCAACCAAAATATTTGAGGTATGTTTTGATCTCATTATTAGGAATTAATCATATCTTTTTTTTGTTATTAAATGTTTCGTTTTTGGTTAAAGAAATAGAAATTTCCATAAAAGCCACTAAAATGGATATTTGTTTTCTAAAAATATTAAAATATTAGATTTATTTTTCAAAAATACAATCAAAATACGTTTTTCCGAAAAATATCACAAAACTAAAACAAAATATTTTAATATTAAAAGACTAAACCTTACCCCTAAAAACTATCTTCTAAAATAAATATATAATAGTCCTTTCAAACCTAAGAAATGAAAAAAAAAACTATACGCCTTTAAACTCATTTTTTTTTTATGTTTAAGATAGTTTTGGATTTTTAAGCAATTTCTCTAAATAAAAATTAAAATTTTCTTAGATAGAGCAATATGTAAAGTATTAAATTATATTCATTTTTATTTGTTAAGAGAAAAAAGGTTAAAACCGCCGTCTCATCGTTGCCTCTATATTGTATACCTTTTGTTTTTCTAACTAGGTTTGAACCCGCGGTACACCGCGGTTTTTGTTTTTAAAATCAATTTTAGATATTAGTAATTAAAATTTTATATGTATTATTATTCTACTATAATTGTTTATTTAGTAGTTCATGTTATATAAATAGGTATTGTATGTTGTTTAGTAGTTAATTTTATTTATATGTAGAGCGTGTTTATAAGGGTGAGCTTTTATTTTTGAGGTTAAATTCTGAAGTTTCTGAAGTGTAGATTTCTAATTTGTTAAGAGGGTTATCTTCCGGAATTTGATTTCGAGTATAACAGTGAGAATTTTGATTATGGTAGTGAATAATTGTTGTACCGCTGCCTGTTGGGGTATAGTGTGTTGCAGACACAATTTTATTTTTATTTAGAAATTCTAATTGTAATTAATTTTTTTTTGTTTTTATATTGTTTTTAAAATATGAATTAATACAAGTAT